GTCAGCCGTGGTGGCTGGTCACGTCAGCTGTGGTAGCTGGTCACGTCAGCCGTGGTAGCTGGTCACGTCAGCCGTGGTGGCTGGTCACGTCAGCTGTGGTAGCTGGTCATGTCAGCTTTGGTAGCCAATCGTGTCAACAATGGTAATGGGTCGTTTGGCTGTATAGCTGGTTAGTCAGCCGTGGTAGCTGGTCAGTCAGCTGTGGTAGCTGGTCATGGCAACTGTGGTAGATGGTTGTGTTTGCTGTGGTAACTGGTCACATCAGCTGTGGTAGCTGGTCATCTTAGCCGTGATAGCTGGTCAGTCAGCCTTCGTAACTGGTCACCTTAGGCATGGTAGCTGGTCACGTCAGCTGTGGTAACAGGTCTTATTAGCTGTGGTAGCTGGCCAGTCAGCCGTGGTAGCTGGTCACATCAACTGTGGTAGATGATCATGTCAACAGTGGCAACGGGTCATGTTAGCTATGGTAGCTGGTCAGTCAGCTGTGGTAACTTGTCACATCAGCTGTGGCAGTTGGTTTCTTTAGCTGTGGTAGATGGTTATACCTGCTGTGGTAACTGGCCAGACAGCTGTGGTAGCTGGTCACCTTAGCTGTGGTAGCTGGTCAGTCAGCCATGGTAGCTGGTCACTTCAGCTGTGGTAGATAGTTATGTCTGCAGTGGTAAATGGTTGCATCAGCTGTGGTAGCTGGCCCTGTCCGCACTGGTAACTGGTGGTAACTGGTCACCTTAGCTCTGATAGCTGTGGTAGCCAGTCTACTTAACTGTGATAAGTGGCCACATCAGTTGTGGTAGCTGGTCATGTCAGCAGGGGTAGCTGGTCACGTCAGCTGGCCTCGTCAGCTGTGAGTCAGCAGTGGTACTTGGTTATGTTAGCTGTGGTAGCTGGCCCCGTCAGCTGTGGTGGCTGGTCAGTCAGCAGTGAGTGACGGGGCACCTTAGCTGTGGTAGCTGGTTGTGTTAGCAGTAGTAGCTGGCCAGTGGCTGTCAGTGGGAGAACATATATGCTCCAGGATGCTCTCAGTGCCCCACCCCGTCCATGCTGCCCTGTCCAGTCGCCCCCCCAGCTGTGGGCGACGGCCCCCGCTGGGCATGCGCCATATGCTATGCTGGTCCCAGCCCTTGCCCCGCCCTGACTCAGAAGCCCTCACGCAGTGGGCCTGGTGGTGTCAGAGGGCCATCCCCACCTCCTGGCTTCTCTTTAACTTGCAAGAAAGCCACCCCGTCCCCCCGGTCTGCCAGGAAAGGGCGGACTTTGTCCTGGAGACAGAGAAATGCTCCACCTGCCGCAGGCCTCCCCAGCTCTGCCCCTGTGCCCTCCCTCCCTCCCTGTTTTCTCTGAGGCTCGATTCTGGGTCCCTCCTGAGAACCCTCAGTGAGAAGGAAACTTCCACGGTGGAGTCAGTCAAGGCCTAACGCACAGCAGCAGATTTCCATCTCCTCCTCTTTAGGGGCCCTCACAAGTCGCTTTTATTTGCTCATCCGCTAGCGTTTAAGCTGAAGGGTTTTGCTGGGAGAGGCCACACAGGCCTCCCACCCCTGCTGCGATCTGCCATCATTCAGAGGGTCAGTATTAAGTCCACGTCATAGAATGACCTTAGAGGCTTAGAGGCCTTTAAAAAGCTACATGGACTTATGGCGGGGGGGGGGCAGGGGTCTCTCCTGAAGCGGGCAGTGCACGTTTGCCTGCGTTGCGCAGCTCTGGCCGCCGCAGGCCGGCCATGACGACAGACGTCGGTGTGCTGTGGGCTCTGTCCGTGTGGGCTGGCTGCATCCCCAGTGCTTCTCTTTCTTGTGTTTCTTGCAATTTTTGTTTAGTCTTTAAATGTGCATTTCAGTTTACGTTTTTTTTTTTTCTTTTAAACATCCTGGCACTGCAGGTGGCATGTCACGTTTTGGACAGTTTGTTCCAGAGCAACTGCCAGTCCAAGAAATGTTACAGTGAGCGTATTCTGTGTCCTGGTGTCTCTGTGCACACGTGACAGGGCCCCAGGAAGCAGCGTGTGCCGCAGCGGCCCAGCCCTCCTGTGCCCTTGATGTTTGATTTTCATGCAAACGTTTGTGCCACAACTCACGTCTCTTTCCCGTTGCAGTTGAGTGCACACTTGTCAGAGTGTGTCAATGCCCCCAGCACCTGTAGTTTTAAGCGCTATGGCTGCGTTTTTCAGGTCAGTATCCAACATTCGTCCTTCCAGTCGCTGACGTTCTGCGTGATAGTTGTTCTCCTAACATGTAACGTGCCGGTCCTGGACTCCTGTCTCGGCGTCAGCCGCCCGCCCCGGGCGGTGCTCAGTGTCTGGCCCGTGGGCCGCGGCCCCGGCGGCCCCGTGTGGGGGGGCGGGGCCCCTGCCACGGCTCTGAGGTGTGCGTGGCGCCCCCCGGGGCCCAGGGCGCTGACGGCGCTGCCCGTCCACGCGGGGGGGGTCTGCAGGACAGGCTGCGTCCACGACGCTGACAGCTGTTGCTTTCTCTCCTCCAGAAACACGAGGACACCGAGTGCCCCTGCGTGGTGGTGTCCTGCCCTCACAAGTGCAGCGTCCAGGCGCTCCTGAGGCGCGAGGTAAGGGCCGGCCAGGCCTCCGGGAGGTTGGGGGCCTTCGGGACAGTGCT